TAGTAATTCACAAATTTCAAATAGCCATATTGTAATTGGAAATAGCCTTTCCCTAAGATGCCTGTACGACTACCATCAGTTTATAAGAGTTCAACCATCTGGGTTGTTCAGTACAACAGAGATTAGTTGTTCAATTTAAACCCTGCCTAGTAAACTAGTAACCTGGTGGGTTGATACTCCCTAGCTCTCGCTAGTGATGAGGGAGCTAGGTAGACAGTGTGGACTAGGCAGCGACTGGGGGAGGGCAACCATCTTCACCTCTCCAAAAGATCAGTACTTGTTACGGCCCTCTCGGGTCGCAACCGGGTTCTTTCTCTGATGTTGTTAGAGGAAGGGTATCCGGCCCCAAGCTAGTAGTGGCTTTCAAGGGATGTGATCCGTAACGCAAGTAAATTAAAGGGGAAGGGAGACAAAGGCAAAAACTTAATAATATAATTGTCACCATCACCATAAATAATATATATCTTATCACACGGGGGAGGTATTAACACTAATATATACAATGTGGTCCTCCTCTGAAGATGCGGAGTGTTCCACGGTGCTCGACGATACTTAGCTCTTGGTCCTCTTGTGGCCTCACGACGAATCCTTCGATTCTCTTGAGTCTACCCTGGCCACAGGCCAGCCAAATCACAGTTCCACTGGGGGCACCGTCGTGGAGGCCGTCAACCACAAATCCAGCCTGTAGCTGGCAGGTTCCAATCAGCAACGCTGGTTAGGCCACTCCACGACCGATACTAGGGTAGCGAGCCCTAGGCAGGAGCCTCGTGTGATCCCACAGATCACTCTCCTCACCTCAACGCCCCAGTGGTTAAGCGTCTCCACCAGTCAGCCCCGGGTACGACAATCCCTCAACTGCCACGTCACAGGCAGGCTAACACCACAGTGTTCATCCGGGGGGGTGACTCACAGCTGCTGCAGCAAACACGTGGAGACTCTTCGACTGCCTTGGGTAGACTGATCCAACGTTCATTACAGCAGTCCCAGGTCGACTCTGTAATCAGACACGTCATCAGTACCAGTTACACTCTAGGGCATCTCACTTACCGGCTTAGACACAAACGCCCACCTATCCACTCCATAGATGGCGTTGCTGTCTAAGCGTCACCTCACCAGAGGTCAGCAGCGGCTGTGTTATGAGCTGATCAGGACGGGAAACTAGCTCTTGTGGCTGGTATTTCTCGTCCTCACTAGATGGCGCCGTCCATTTGGAGGGGGTTTCGGGAGCTGACCCACAGATGACGCGGTCGTCACTGCTCCGTGCTTGGACGCTGGGCTTGGGTCCGTAACAGTACTCCATCAGCTGGTTGCATAAGGCAAGGTGCAGTTGCTAAGAGTTGTTATAGGAAAATAGTTCATTTCATGCCTCAACAGGAAGTCTTCATGCAGTTAGGGAGTGATTTTATTTAGTTTTTGTTTGGATTTTGCATAAATAAATAATTAGATTGTTCTCTGTATTTTATTGTTTCCATGTATAATTTTGCATGTCCTTGTCACGTGGTCTCCATGAGTCAGAGTTTACTTGGGTTGCAAGCATAGCAAAGTAAGAGCTAATATATATCTCCTTGTTTCTGTAATTCCCACACTGAACGTAGATTCATCCCTCCTTTTCGAGTAATTTGGGGATCAAGCCCCAAGGTTTTAATGATTGATTAATCGGTCCAGACCCCGATTAATTGACGCTTCGGTTTAATAGTCTGGTGGTGGCAGCAGAAGGAGATCCTTGAGTTTGCTAGAAGTCTAGTACAGCGTCACGGGACTGTAGAATCTTAGCCGATCGAATGGTTAAGACCACGTGGCGTGGGGCTCGGCTAGAGTAACTCTGGGGTCCCTTGGAATTAGGTTGAAGTAAATATAATACGGGTGGGTAAAGGACGGAGGTAGAGCCGATACCTCCCCCCCCCCCCCCGTGTTATAATGGTGGCAGTGGTGGGATACGAACCCACGCCTCTGAAGAGACTGGTGCCTCAAACCAGAGCCTTTCAACTTTCAAGCCAAACCAGAGTTTCAACTCCTTTTGACCTTGTCGTAGCTCAGTCGATTAAGGCAGCGTCTGGGATGCTCTCGGACGCAGGTTCGAATCCTCGTCACGGCCCTTGTGGATTTGTTCATTTGATGCATCACACAATTGTGATTTCTGTGTGTAATCCTACTAATTTGTAGAATTAACATAAATTAATATTTTCCTATCTGCGCGTCATTTACCAAATTCTTCCAACATAGAGGGATCGTATTGCGTCAAATAATACCCAGCAGAGGTATAAATATTGTCAACATGCCAGAGAATTTAATAATATTCTTGCTTTTTGTCAGTATCCTTTACCAGAATTAATACCTGACATTATAACAACTAGTGATCTAATAACAATGAGTTATCAACTAAAGGATCACTATATAACAGTTTATCTGTTATCTTAAACTAACATGTAGGAAGAAGAAATTCTCTCATTTCTCGATTAATAAGAACACTGTTCATATTAATTATTATTTGACCAGAATTTAAATAATACAACTCCCTATAATTGCAACTCTATTCTCATTAATTGATTAAGTAGAGCAATTACAAGGAAAAGAATTTTCCGTTTCTACTGAAATATGTTAGTGCGTGAGACGGGTTGTGGGAGGAGGAGGGAAGCTTGGCCACGAGACACTGAGAAGGCCACAAGTACAGAGAGAGAGGTGACGTTGTCGCAAGCTACGCGATCGGCCGTTGCTATTAATCGGCCCCGGAGTGCATAATTACTCCATCAGCGATCCAAGGATTACGTCGACGGACAACATTTACGTTAAGTGGTTTAGTTTGATTGTTCTGAGCTCTCAACATGTAAACGTTACCCTTAGTTCGTCGTTACACCACGCTCCCTCCTCTAAACACAAGTACGTTCCTAGTGTACCTAATTTACCCCTTCTATTAACCCATAGTGATATAATCTACTGTGTGTAAACACGTTTTACACCATATTGAGTTTCCAGGGTGTGTTGAAGCAGCCTGAGGTGAGACAAATTCCAACGCCACGCTAGCAGGTCATGTGTTCCAGCAGGTTGTAGATGACGCCGTCGCCCAACCACACTACCGTTCACTGTCACAGCTAGGCAGCCGATCTTTCTTTAATTTACTAATTAACTTCTCATAAATAGTTGAGATTTAATAATAACACAAATTTATATTTCATTTACGTGAGCTAGGCATTTAATCCTATTTCTTATAGCATCAAGAGCCTTTAGATAGGAACAATTTTCTTGTCTACCATTTATTACTATATGATCTTGTCATTAACCAAATTATTGAATACTTATACAAATTATATTTCTTAGTAAACTTTACGAACCCCTTTCGAGGAGGAACCAGCCTCAACTAAGTGTACTATTCAGCTTCTAGTATTAACCCCCACTTGTGAAGTTTGGGAATGTTCAACTCTTGAATAATAATTATTCTTACCGTCCATTAATGTCCAACAAATAATTATGGATGATTATATTATCCACAGACACTGGTATCTCAGTTCATTTTATTACACTAGTTATCTGTTTCCCTCTTCAGTAAAAATAAGGTGGTCCTTCGAGTAATTTGACTCAATCAAGTAAATATCATTATATTAAGAACAAGCTTTCCTTCACGACCGGTGGTGTGGTGGTGATAGTAGTGTGGGGGAGGTGGTGTGGTGGTGATAGTAGTGTGGGGGAGGTGGTGTGGTATAGGTGGTGGTGGTGGTGAAGGTAGTGTGGTGGTGGTGCTCGTAGTGGTGGTGAAGGTAGTGTGGTGGTGATAGTAGTGTGGTGGTGAAGGTAGTGTGGTGGTGGTGGTGCTGCTGCTGCTGGTAGGGTGGTGAAGGTAGTATGGTGGTGAGGTAGTGTGGTGGTGAAGGTAGTGTGGTGGTGGTGGTGGTGCTGCTGGTAGTGGTGGTGAAGGTGGTGTCGTGGTGGTGGTGGTGAAGGTAGTGTGGTGGTGAAAGTAGTGTGGTGGTGAAGGTAGTGTGGTGGTGATGGTAGTGTGGTGGTGAAGGTAGTGTGGTGGTGGTGGTGGTAGTGAAGGTAGTGTGGTGGTGAAGGTAGTGTGGTGGTGGTGGTGAAGGTAGTGTGGTGGTGTTGGTGATGGTGAAGGTAGTGTGGTGGTGGTGAAGGTAGTGTGGTGGTGGTGAAGGTAGTGTGGTGGTGGTGGTGGTGGTGAAGATAGTGTGGTGGTAATGGTGGTGGTGAAGGTAGTGTGGTGGTGGTGGTGGTGAAGGTAGTGTGGTGGTGGTGGTGGTGAAGGGAGTGTGGTGGTGGTGGTGGTGAAGGTAGTGTGGTGGTGGTGGTGGGGTGAAGGTAGTGTGGTGGTGGTGGTGGTGGGTGAAGATAGTGTGGTGGTGATGGTGGTGAAGGTAGTGTGGTGGTGGTGAAGGTAGTGTAGTGTGTTGGTGGTGCTGGTCTATTAGCCTCCACTAGCAAAATCTGGTAACAGCACAAGAATATCTTCCAATATTCCTGAGTGTATGTAATAATTACAGAGCTCAAAGTACTTTATACCATATGGTCTGAAGTCACTTATAACAGGACAATCACAGATACAGTGTTGGAGAGTATGTCCCAGCTCTTATTCACATAGTTTACAATAGGAATGTTCACCATTGGGGGATTCATTACCTGCAGCCACCTTCCATAGATATTGATACCCCAGCCTAATTCTGGCAATTACAATATCACACTGTCTAGTGGATGGTTTATCCTGAAGTGCATTGGACATCACCTGTGATCTTATGAGCATTTTGATTAGTCAATATATTCTCTCTTGTATTCATGAAGTTAATTTAAAAGGCAATTCCATTCACCCAGTAAGTATTAAAAGATTAAAGTTCCCTCACACTCGGTATTATTTGACTGATCTCCTCATGAGTCAATTAGCCTAATTATCAAACTTCCAGGAGTGGTGGCAGCATTATATGTTTATGAGTAAACTGATCTTCCATCTGATGTGTAAGAATTGCAAAGATATGTTTAACATCTTGGACATTTCTCTCCCCTCCCCCCCCCCCCCCCGATAACTGGTTTGGGCATTTTCTGCTGCGAGGGCAGACTATCACCCCAGAGAACTGGCAAAATACAATTATTACAGCCTAAAGTTTTACCAGTTTTTTTTTAGCAACCATTACTGTGAGTGTTTGTGGGAAGTGTTACAATGGTGACATGTATCTAACGTTACAATTGGTAGCAGCCGTGCTTGTTGCCCACGTAACAATAACAATAACACCATAACAAAATAACATCATCAACATCAACAATTAGCAACGGTAATGTCTTCTCACACACATAATAACATAGGGTAAAAAAAACACACACTTGTGTATTTATGAAACTCGTGTAAGGAATTTACACCAAGTCTTTCACACACACTCAGAAGAGTGCGAAAGACTGTAAATTCCTTACATAAGTTTTACAAATAGACAAGTGTGGGTTTTTTCCAGTAATAATAACCTTAATAACCCTCCGGAGACTGATAGATCCCAAGCCAACACCAAACCAATATCAAGTTATAATCACAAATATGTTTGGTCCCCACACAGACAAACATTGTCTATTGCACTAGATAATTATATCCCACAGGCCTTTAGATTATCTTCTAGGCATTTTACTGGTACAGTTTCCTCGTCAATTGGGACCTGGAAAAAAGAGATAAGCTTAGTACTAACATCCAATAAAAGTCATTTATCATTATATATTTATGCTTGTTGTTTAATGTTGTTTAAGATTCTCTACCTGGAACAAAAAGTTCCATGCAGCACGGGCTATGGTGAGCCCGTAGTACATATTTATGCTATTTCTATCCAATTTCATACATATTTTTATGCTTACATGTACCAAAGTTGGAAGAAATTATAACAGTTTCAATCGAGAAAATAATCCAGATTTGTTTAAGAGTAATTGTAATGTTTAACTGTATATATGTGGTTAATGATGTAATACAGAAAGTTAAATAAACTTTGGAAATAAATAAACAATTATGTTTAAACAATATTATAATGATCAGACTAAAAATCTAACCAGGTATAGCCTAGCCTAACTTATTCTAACCAGTTATAGCTTAGCCTAACTTATTCTATCCAGTTATAGCTTAGCCTAACTTATTCTAACCAGTTATAGCTTAGCCTAACTTAATCTAACCAGTTTGCCAAAGCTAAGGGTGACTCGATCAACGTTACCACTGACCACAGCTCTGAGAGCTTGATCAAGGTCTTTGATGAGGTCGTGAGCCGGCTCTAAGCCACACGACACACGGACGAGGCCATCTGTGATGCCCAAGCTCTCTCTAGTCTCTGCTGGCAGACACTTGTGGCTCATCACACACCTGTTGAAAATACATAAACGAAAAGTTGCAAGACTGGTATGTAATTTCTAGTTTATATTTTTATTAATCTAAATGTTTTGTTTTTTATTTAAACATCAGTTTTTGTTAGATTTTTGCCAATTTTAATTTATATGTTTCATTTGCTAGTGTGACAGTATGTTAAGTTGGGTAAGAAAGGGAGAATTTAACTCTAAGAGAAATGAACAAGGGCTGTGATGAGGATTCGAACATGCGTCCAAGAGCATCCCAGACGCTGCCTTAATCGACTGAACTACGACATGGTTAAGAGAACCCTCGTCACGGCCCTTTGAAATTCGAAATTTCATTTCAAATTCTGTCCACTTTTGGCCATAGCGCGCATACGAGCCAAAAGCGACGTTATTTTTAAGAGGACGGGTTGTTAGCATGCATATAACATGCTGTCAGCTGGCTTACAGTTCGATTCCTCACAGTGGATGTGCATTTATATTTGAGTTAACTTTAAATGTCAGTTTTTTTATTTTTTTATTCATTACGTCTACCATACCCATACTGTGGGAGGTAGTGGAAAAGGTTACAGAGGCACACATGGGGGCTCAGGAACTCTGAATTACTCTAAAAATAATCCAATTCAATGCTCAATTAAAAAACAAATATTAACCAAAACCCTTCATTAACTCACGGAGGTTGACAGAAAGACTCAGCCCCTCCCAAGCTAGTTGCGAAAGTAAACATCTTTAACTGCTTGCAAAAGTGAGTCGATGCTTTTAAACTGTTTCCCTTGATGCAGAAGGAGAACATGCCGGAGTGGCCGTAACACTGACGCTTCGACAGCTGTAAACACCATCAACACAGTTTAGTGCCATGTATATACCAAGGACATTGAAATTGAAATAAGTTTATTGAGGTAAAATACACACAAAGGGATCAGGTAGCTCAAGCTATTCTCACCCCGTTCGTGTTAATATTCTCACCCCGTTAATCGTGTTCCATCGTGTTAATACATACATATAAACACATCCCAAGCAATAAACATATTACCAAACGTTCTGAGAGCTAAACCTCTACATTTCCTCATATACCAAGGAGGAATAGTTGTATTAATTACAGTACTTTGTAAGTATTTTCACAGTAAGAGATCACTAGTAATCACAATAATAAATGTTTAAAGATATGCAAGTAGTGAAGTTGAGGACTAGAACCGTCCCAACCCTGAGGAGAACCTCAGGGATCGAACTCGGTCATAGTCAAAAGTGGTGTGGGAGTCCGTAGAATGGGACGGGTTGCGTCCAGGGGGACGTTTTGGGTCACAGGGGTAAAATGTAAGGGATGTTGTGGGTCATGTAGGTAAGAGGGGAAGATAAGTATGTGGGCATGTGAACATCATCTCAAAGGTTTCCCCGGATGTTATGACGCGTGGCATCCGACCAGGCGTCACTTGAGAGAGTGTCATGTTGGGTAGGGGCTGGAAGCTAAGTGGTTGGTATGCAGTCATGTAGGGAGGAAGAGGAGGAGTATGTAGGTTATGTTGTGTAGGGAGAGGAGAGCCCCCATACCTGAGAGGATAACATTGACGTCCATTAGCTTCCCCTACAGGAAGCCGTAAGTGTTGAGGGGGGTAAGAGAGAGCAGCCTCTTGCGGATGTGGTCCATTTGCTTTAATGGTTTTTCGATGTCTTCAGAGTTGTCTGGAGATGTTGACCCCAGCATGGCTCTCCCTCCACTGCGGATTCGTTAAGGAGGGCGAGGGTCTTACTTCCGCTAGCAGGTCCTCACCTGCCAACCATCAATCACTTCTCATTTGACCGGGATCGTTTCCCTCCCCTCACACACAAACGCGCCGTTAGTTCACTGCGAGTCTTCATTCGCTACACACACTCACCATACAGCTCCGCGTCATGGAAAGATGAACCTCAACAGCCTGCATGAAATGCGGAGTGTTTTATATTCCATCACCAAATCAACTATGTCGGCTGCAATGTGCAAGCTGTGAAAAACCGCCCCTAGGCCATTACGACATCAAATGCAAGCGATGTCAGCAGATTTTCTGTGATAACCGTGAGTGTTATTCTTATTTAGTTCATTTTATGGCATCCACAGGTGAAATATCGCGTGTGTAAACTATTATCTCTCTTATAGTGTGAGAATATTTACTCTTTCGGGCTATTACATTCCACACAGTTAAATATGTTCTTTCCAATTTCAGTTTACAAAACCGTGAAGTGTCCTTATTGCTCACCTGCCCCGCGAGGAGGTCATCGCCGGAATGAAACTTCACATAAACGTAGGTATCATATATAAATATAATTCTCGTATCTGTATTACATCCAGTTGCAAGCGAACACACATGCATAATAAACATATTTTCCCCATTCACCCGTGCTGAATATCATTTTGTTCCATTTCAGGTTATAATCCATACCTCAATCGACGGAGGGAACAGATAGACGTCATCGAGTCTGTATCCCATCCGTCCCACACTGAGCTAAGGAGAGCAGATCTCACTCGTGGGCACCCCCCGTCCCTTCAACAAGGGCGGCAGCGCCACCAGCAGATGGACGGCTACGAGACAATATCACGCCCAGTTAACACAATGTTAAGGATTCATACCCTCACACCTGCTCAACCCACTCACCAGGACATAAGTAAGTTAATACTGTCTTATTTTAATCTATTTCCTAAACATATTAATTCCCCCTAATCTGTTCCCTCACCTCAAATATATATATATATATATATGTCGTATATATATATATATATATATATATATATATATATATATATATATATATATATATATATATATATATATATATATATATATATATATATATATATGTATATCACGAAAATAAACACTTGATTAAGAGTGTGACAATGTCAGACCACGGAGGAAAATGAAACAGGAATTTCCGTAAGTACTTTCGTATATTAAATACATCTTCAGAAGGAACCTACATCTTCCTTCAGAAGGAAATAGTAAGTAAGTCAACAAATTCCTTTGGAGACTTCAGGCTGAAGGCGCAAGGAACATAAGGAGTCAGCAGGCCGTTGAGTCGCTTCGCCAGTCTGTACGTGGGTGTGGGTATCTGGCTAATGATTGGCCGAAGTGGGTTTCCAGGCTTGTGTGTCTTGACATTTCCATACGCATATCCAGGTTTATATTCCCCAATGATCTTTGGCAGGTGGAGTCCGGATTTCTTGGCGTTCACAGTTTCGATCAGTTTGTTGACCTTTGCTTTCAATTCGGCTGTAGTGTCCTTCGTTACCCTTTGGAACTTAGTTTGGTCAGAGAGTATGAGGTTCATTTTCGCCAGATATTCGTCTTTTTCAAGAATGACATATATTGGCGACTTGTCACCTCTCCTGACAACTATCTCCTTGTTCTCACGAAGGCTTTTAGCTGCCGCTTTGAGCTCGGGGGACAGTATGGTGCTTCTGTAATTGCCTCGATTCTTTCCTCCTTCTGCAATAAGTTCTGCTTGTAAGGTATCTTTGGTAGTGACCTTCTTTTGTGTCTCGAGGTCGAATATGTCGTCCAACAGAATTTCCAACTCTACTTTCCGGGCCATCTCACTCGGTCTGGACATAACGTGACAGTTTATGCCCAGATTTAGGAGAGTGACTTGGTCCTCAGTGAGGATAATTCCTGCAAGGTTCAGGAAGCCATCTGTTGGTCGTGGAATTGCCATAGGTCCTCCATATAATGTTGTTAGTTTCTTGATAATCCTTGTTTCAGTGCTGAGGTGATGTCGGTCTGTGAGGATGTCGAGGTGTTGTTCAATGCGAGTACGGATACTTTCGTCGATGTTGCTATTTCTCCACTCGTTTGTAGCATGAACTAGTTGCGTTTTGTTGTCTTTGATTTCATTCTCTGCCTTGTATATCTGATCACGAATCAGATCCTGGCGATATTTTATCGTGAAGGCTTGATTCCTTGCTGCTGGGTCGTGCGCTTTAATATTAGTATATTTTGGTAGCAGTCTTTCCTGTAGACATATATTATTAAATATGACCGAAAAAGTAAGATTAATAATTCTAACACGAATTTTCTCAATCTTTCGTACATTTCTTTTCACTGTTGGAGGTAATTCAAAAATCAATTCTCCAAAATTCATTTTTATTTCTAGTCTGACGCGACACTTGAGCGCGTTTCGTAAAACTTATTACATTTTCAAAGACTTTACACATACACAACTGAATAGAACTTACATATCTCCGATTTGTTTATATCTACATTTGAGTGAGGTGGATGGGGTGAGGTGGTATTTAATAGGGTATTAATATCATCAACACAAGACAGAACACGAAACAATGGGTATTGAAATGGAAGTGATTGTAGAAAGCCTATTGGTCCATATTTCTTGATGCTTCTATATTGGAGCGGAGTCTTGAAGTGGGTAGAATATAGTTGTGCATTATTTGGCTGTTGATTGCTGGTGTTGACTTCTTAATGTGCAGTGCCTCGCAAACGTCAAGCCGCCTGCTATCGCTGTATCTATCGATGATTTCTGTGTTGTTTACTAGGATTTCTCTGGCGATGGTTTGGTTGTGGGAAGAGATTATATGTTCCTTAATGGAGCCCTGTTGCATATGCATCGTTAAACGCCTAGAAAGAGATGTTGTTGTCTTGCCTATATACTGGGTTTTTTGGAGCTTACAGTCCCCAAGTGGGCATTTGAAGGCATAGACGACGTTGGTCTCTTTTAAAGCGTTCTGCTTTGTGTCTGGAGAGTTTCTCATGAGTAGGCTGGCCGTTTTTCTGGTTTTATAGTAAATCGTCAGTTGTATCCTCTGATTTTTGTCTGTAGGGATAACGTTTCTATTAAAAATATCTTTCAGGACCCTTTCCTCCGTTTTATGAGCTGTGGAAAAGAAGTTCCTGTAAAATAGTCTAATAGAAGGTATAGGTGTTGTGTTAGTTGTCTCTTCAGAGGTTGCATGGAGTTTCACTTTCCTTCTTATGATGTCTTCGACGAAACCATTGGAGAAGCCGTTGTTGACTAGGACCTGCCTTACCCTACAGAGTTCTTCGTCGACTTGCTTCCATTCTGAGCTGTGGCTGAGAGCACGGTCGACATATGCGTTAACAACACTCCTCTTGGACCTGTCTGGGCAGTCGCTATTGGCATTTAGGCACATTCCTATGTTCGTTTCCTTAGTGTAGACTGCAGTGGGGAAACCTCCGCTCTTTTCCATGACTGTTACATCTAGAAAGGGCAGCTTGCCATCCTTTTCCATCTCGTAAGTGAAACGCAGCACGGAACTCTGCTCAAATGCCTCCTTCAGCTCCTGCAGATGTCTGACATCAGGTACCTGTGTAAAAATGTCGTCAACATCCCTGCAGTATATGGCCGGTTTCAAGTTCATGTCGACTAAGACTCTTTGCTCGATGGTACCCATGTAGAAGTTTGCAAACAGGACACCTAGGGGAGAACCCATGGCGACCCCATCTACTTGCTTATACATGTGCCCATCCGGGCTCAAGAAGGGTGCCTCTTTAGTAAAAGCTTGGAGTAATTTCCTCAGAATATTTTCTGGTATGTCAAGAGGAGTACAGGCTGGATCACGATACACTCTGTCGGCTATCATCCCGATTGTCTCGTCCACAGGTACGTTGGTAAACAGCGATTCTACGTCCAACGAGGCTCTTATCCCTGTGGCCTGTGTGCCCCGCAGTAAGTCAACAAATTCCTTTGGAGACTTCAGGCTGAAGGCGCAAGGAACATAAGGAGTCAGCAGGCCGTTGAGTCGCTTCGCCAGTCTGTACGTGGGTGTGGGTATCTGGCTAATGATTGGCCGAAGTGGGTTTCCAGGCTTGTGTGTCTTGACATTTCCATGCGCATATCCAGGTTTATATTCCCCAATGATCTTTGGCAGGTGGAGTCCGGATTTCTTGGCGTTCACAGTTTCGATCAGTTTGTTGACCTTTGCTTTCAATTCGGCTGTAGTGTCCTTCGTTACCCTTTGGAACTTAGTTTGGTCAGAGAGTATGAGGTTCATTTTCGCCAGATATTCGTCTTTTTTAAGAATGACATATATTGGCGACTTGTCACCTCTCCTGACAACTATCTCCTTCTTCTCACGAAGGCTTTTAGCTGCCGCTTTGAGCTCGGGGGACAGTATGGTGCTTCTGTAATTGCCTCGATTCTTTCCAACTTCTGCAATAAGTTCTGCTTGGAAGGTATCTTTGGTAGTGACATTCTTTTGTGTCTCGAGGTCGAATATATCGTCCAACAGAATTTCCAACTCTACTTTCAGGGCCATCTCACTCGGTCTGGACATAACGTGACAGTTTATGCCCAGATTTAGGAGAGTGACTTGGTCCTCAGTGAGGTTAATTCCTGCAAGGTTCAGGAAGCCATCTCTTGGTCGTGGAATTGCCATAGGTCCTCCATATAATGTTGTTAGTTTCTTGATAATCCTTGTTTCAGTGCTGAGGTGATGTAGGTCTGTGAGGATGTCGAGGTGTTGTTCAATGCGGGTACGGATACTTTCGTCGATGTTGCTATTTCTCCACTCGTTTGTAGCATGAAGTAGTTGCGTTTTGTGGTCTTTGATTTCATTCTCTGCCTTGTATATCTGATCACGAATCAGATCCTGGCGATATTTTATCGTGAAGGCTTGATTCCTTGCTGCTGGGTCGTGCGCTTTAATATTAGTGTATTTTGGTAGCAGTCTTTCCTGTAGACATATATTATTAAATATGACCGAAAAAGTAAGATTAATAATTCTAACACGAATTTTCTCAATCTTTCGTACATTTCTTTTCACTGTTGGAGGTAATTCAAAAATCAATTCTCCAAAATTCATTTTTATTTCTAGTCTGATGCGACACTTGAGCGCGTTTCGTAAAACTTATTACATTTTCAAAGACTTTACACATACACAACTGAATAGAACTTACATATCTCCGATTTGTTTATATCTACATTTGAGTGAGGTGGATGGGGTGAGGTGGTATTTAATAGGGTATTAATTTCATCAACACAAGACAGAACACGAAGCAATGGGTATTGAAATGGAAGTGATTGTAGAAAGCCTATTGGTCCATATTTCTTGATGCTTCTATATTGGAGCGGAGTCTTGAGGTGGGTAGAATATAGTTGTGCATTATTTGGCTGTTGATTGCTGGTGTTGACTTCTTAATGTGCAGTGCCTCGCAAAGGTCAAGCCGTCTGCTATCGCTGTATCTATCGATGATTTCTGTGTTGTTTACTAGGATTTCTCTGGCGATGGTTTGGTTGTGGGAAGAGATTATATGTTCCTTAATGGAGCCCTGTTGCTTATGCATCGTTAAACGCCTAGAAAGAGATGTTGTTGTCTTGCCTATATACTGGGTTTTTTTGAGCTTACAGTCCCCAAGTGGGCATTTGAAGGCATAGACGACGTTGGTCTCTTTTAAAGCGTTCTGCTTTGTGTCTGGAGAGTTTCTCATGAGTAGGCTGGCCGTTTTTCTGGTTTTATAGTAAATCGTCAGTTGTATCCTCTGATTTTTGTCTGTAGGGATAACGTTTCTATTAACAATATCTTTCAGGACCCTTTCCTCCGTTTTATGAGCTGTGGAAAAGAAGATCCTGTAAAATAGTCTAATAGGGGGTATAGGTGTTGTGTTAGTTGTCTCTTCAGAGGTTACATGGCGTTTCACTTTCCTTCTTATGATGTCTTCGACGAAACCATTGGAGAAGCCGTTGTTGACTAGGACCTGCCTTACCCTACAGAGTTCTTCGTCGACTTGCTTCCGTTCTGAGCTGTGGCTGAAAGCACGGTCGACATATGCGTTAACAACACTCCTCTTGTACCTGTCTGGGCATTCGCTGTTGGCATTTAGGCACATTCCTATGTTCGTTTCCTTAGTGTAGACTGCAGTGTGGAAACCTCCGCTCTTTTCCATGACTGTTACATCTAGAAAGGGCAGCTTCCCATCCTTTTCCATCTCGTAAGTGAAACGCAGCACGGAACTCTGCTCAAATGCCTCCTTCAGCTCCTGCAGATGTCTGACATCAGGTACCTGTGTAAAAATGTCGTCATGCTACCGAAGATACCTTACAAGCAGAACTTATTGCAGAAGGAGGAAAGAATCGAGGCAATTACAGAAGCACCATACTGTCCCCCGAGCTCAAAGCGGCAGCTAAAAGCCTTCGTGAGAACAAGGAGATAGTTGTCAGGAGAGGTGACAAGTCGCCAATATATGTCATTCTTAAAAAAGACGAATATCTGGCGAAAATGAGCAACGTTGCTAGGCACGTTGTTGTGCATGGTTACTAGGCACGTTGTTGTGCATGGTTGCTAGGCACGTTGTTGTGCATGGTTGCTAGGCACGTTGTTGTGCATGGTTGCTAGGCACGTTGTTGTGCATGGTTGCTAGGCACGTTGTTGTGCATGGTTGCTAGGCACGTTGTTGTGCATGGTTGCTAGGCACGGTGTTGTGCATGGTTGCTGCACGGTGTTGTGCATGGTTGCTAGGCACGTTGTTGTGCATGGTTGTAGGCACGGTGTTGTGCATGGTTGCTAGGCACGTTGTTGTGCATGGTTGCTAGGCACGGTGTTGTGCGGTGGTTGCTAGGCATGTTGTGCATGGTTGCTAGGCACGTTGTTGTGCATGGTTGCTAGGCACGGTGTTGTGCATGGTTGCTAGGCACGTTGCAACAGAGGGTTGGGAGAGGAGGAAGTCTGCACATCACCACGGGGAGTTGCACGATGGCGCCACACAATTGATTTTGAACATTATCATTTTATGTATTAACAACGGACTCCAAGAGCTGAAGATCAAGCTGGTGTTTCAATTATGGCAGTGAAATGTTATGCCGGTACACTTGCACCATCCCTCACAACAGATCACCATCTTCTATGACAGCACATCATTAGCTGATATAATTTTACGTACCAACTCCCATCACAGCATCAGAATCACCCAAAAAAGGAAAACTGGTTGAGGCACTACCCAGTACACTACTCCTCTTTACCTTATCTCCCAGTTCTTTTCCTGACTCTTCCATCTCCTGCTTATCATGTTGTTGTTGTTAAAGATTCCCTACCTGGAACAAAAAGTTCCAAGTAGCACGGGCTATGGTGAGCCCGTAGTGCCTTTTAAGCTCTATGGGTATATATATGCTCTCACCGCCCTGCATTACCACGAGGACAAAAATATAATGCAATGGTAAAGTTTCTAACAGTTTAATGAACCAATATCCTTAATGTGTTAAGTATGCTTTTATATAATGTATTTTTTTATATAAGGCATTATATTGGGTCAATAAAACCTGAAAATGTGATGATAATAATTATCTAAAATTAGAATTTAGAAAATTCACACTGAGCCTAATCATTTCTGCTTTCAGTTGCAAGATTTTGTTAAAAAAATATTAAAATGTAAATTGTTCAAGCTTCAAGCGACGGTTAAAGAGGAAAATGCACTTCCTTACCTCATGCTGAGGGTGAGATGGTAACCCAGGGTGAATGACCTTCTCCACACAAGGGTGAGTCTCCAAAAACTTGGCCACTGCTAAACCATTCTTCATGTGTTGTTCCATTCTCAGTGCCAAGGTTTTGAGTGACCGATTAACCAAGTAACAATCAAGTGGGGAAGGAACAGATCCAATAGCATTTTGGAAGAAACGAAGTTCATCATGAAGGTCATCCCTGTAAGTGACAATGGTATTTAAAATACACAAGTTTTGACGAAACTTACTCAAACTTTAATTTACATTTTATAATAGAAAATATGTTACCTGTAACTTAAATAAGTTCACAAGCTATATAATATTATAAATACAACAAATAAGAATCAACGTAAAGAATATTGTTTTTCAAATACTTTTTCATGTATATATTTCTTATAAATATAAAGAGTGCTTTTGTTAAGGAGTCACTTAGCCAGTAACCGGGTTCTTTACTTATCAAACTGTATATGGGGCCTTATAGTGCCTCTTCTTACTCGATCCCACCCCGAGTCATAGGTAAGTAATTAAGAACTAGCAGTAATAATCTAAAGGAAAAGGGGAAATGATCACTAAACTGAACTATCACCAGGTGTACTTCTCAACTATACATATGTACATGACATAACACTGCTGGTGTCACTCTCGCACACCACACAATAACTAATAATTATACAATAATACTGTAATATTCTATCCCAGCGAGTTCACCTTTCTCAGTAAATAATAGACCAGACCTCTACAGTATTGTTACAGTGCCAAAACACCGCTCCTCTTCCAGCAACACTGGCAGGGGTCTCCAGCAACACTGGCAGGGGTCTCCAGCAACACTGGCAGGGGTCTCCAGCAACACTGGCAGGGGTCTCCAGCAACACTGGCAGGGGTCTCCAGCAACACTGGCAGGGGTCTCCAGCAACACTGGCAGGGGTCTCCAGCAACACTGGCAGGGGTCTCCAGCAACACTGGCAGGGGTCTCCAGCAACACTGGCAGGGGTCTCCAGCAACACTGGCAGGGGTCTCCAGCAACACTGGCAGGGGTCTCCAGCAACACTGGCAGGGGTCTCCAGCAACACTGGCAGGGGTCTCCAGCAACACTGGCAGGGGTCTCCAGCAACACTGGCAGGGGTCTCCAGCAACACTGGCAGGGGTCTCCAGCAACACTGGCAGGGGTCTCCAGCAACACTGGCAGGGGTCTCCAGCAACACTGGCAGGGGTCTCCAGCAACACTGGCAGGGGTCTCCAGCAACACTGGCAGGGGTCTCCAGCAACACTGGCAGGGGTCTCCAGCAACACTGGCAGGGGTCTCCAGCAACACTGGCAGGGGTCTCCAGCAACACTGGCAGGGGTCTCCAGCAACACTGGCAGGGGTCTCCAGCAACACTGGCAGGGGTCTCCAGCAACACTGGCAGGGGTCTCCAGCAACACTGGCAGGGGTCTCCAGCAACACTGGCAGGGGTCTCCAGCAACACTGGCAGGGGTCTCCAGCAACACTGGCAGGGGTCTCCAGCAAACACTGGCAGGGGTCTCCAGCAACACTGGCAGGGGTCTCCAGCAACACTGGCAGGGGTCTCCAGCAACACTGGCAGGGGTCTCCAGCAACACTGGCAGGGGTCTCCAGCAACACACTGGCAGGGGTCTCCAGCAACACTGGCAGGGGTCTCCAGCAACACTGGCAGGGGTCTCCAGCAACACTGGCAGGGGTCTCCAGCAACACTGGCAGGGGTCTCCAGCAACACTGGCAGGGGTCTCCAGCAACACTGGCAGGGGTCTCCAGCAACACACTGGCAGGGGTCTCCAGCAACACTGGCAGGGGTCTCCAGCAACACTGGCAGGGGTCTCCAGCAACACTGGCAGGGGTCTCCAGCAACACTGGCAGGGGTCTCCAGCAACACTGGCAGGGGTCTCAGGCAACACTGGCAGGGGTCTCCAGCAACACACTGGCAGGAGTCTCCGGCAACACACTGGCAGAGGTCTCCAGCAACACTGGCAGAGGTCTCCAGCAACACTGGCAGGGGTCTCCAGCAACACTGGCAGAGGTCTCCAGCAACACTGGCAGGGGTTTCCAGCAACACTGGCAGGGGTCTCCGGCAACACACTGGCAGAGGTCTCCAGCAACACACTGGCAGGGGTCTCCAGCAACATACTGGCAGAGGTCTCCAGCAACACACTGGCAGGGGTCTCCAGCAACACACTGGCAGGGGTCTCCGGCAACACACTGGCAGAGGTCTCCAGCAACACACTGGCAGGTGTCTCCAGCAACACACTGGCAGAGGTCTCCAGCAACACACTGGCAGGGGTCTCCAGCAACACACTGGCAGGGGTCTCCGGCAACACACTGGCAGAGGTCTCCAGCAACACACTGGCAGAGGTCTCCAGCAACACACTGGCAGGGGTCTCCGGCAACACACTGGCAGAGGTCTCCAGCAACACTGGCAGGGGTCTCCAGCAACACACTGGCAGAGGTATCCAGCAACACACTGGCAGAGGTCTCCAGCAACACTGGCAGAGGTCTCCAGCAATACTGGCAGGTGTCTTCAGCAACACACTGGCAGAGGTTCCCCAGCAACACACTGGCAGGGGTCTCCAGCAACACTGGCAGGGGTCTCTAGCAACACACTGGCAGAGGTCTCCAGCAACACACTGGCAGGGGTCTCCAGCAACACTGGCAGGGGTCTCCAGCAACACTGGCAGAGGTCTCCAGAAACACTGGCAGGGGTCTCCAGCAACACGGGCAGGGGTCTCCAGCAACACTGGCAGGGGTCTCCAGCAACACACTGGCAGGGGTCTCCGGCAATACACTGGCAGAGGTCTCCCGCAACACTGGCAGAGGTCTCCAGCAACACTGGCAGGGGTCTCCAGCAACACTGGCAGACGTCTCCAGCAACACTGGCAGGGGTTTCCAGCAACACTGGCAGGGGTCTCCAGCAACACACTGGCAGAGGTCTCCAGCAACACACTGGCAGGTGTCTCCAGCAACACACTGGCAGAGGTCTCCAGCAACACACTGGCAGGGGTCTCCAGCAACACTGGCAGGGGTCTCCAGCAACACACTGGCAGGGGTCTCCGGCAACACACTGGCAGAGGTCTCCAGCAACACACTGGCAGAGGTCTCCAGCAACACTGGCAGGGGTCTCCAGCACACTGGCAGGGGTCTCCAGCAACACTGGCAGTAAGGTCTTAGGCAACACTGGCAGGGGTCTCCAGTTAACACTGGCAGGTAGGTCTCCAGCAATTACACTGGCAGGGGTCTCCAGTTAGGTACTGCAGGTAAGTTCCAGCAACACTGGCAGGGGTCTCCAGTTAACACTGGCAGGTAAGGTCTCCAGTTAAGCACACTGGCAGGTTAAATTATGTAAGTCAGGTTAAGCAGGTTAAGTTAGGTAATGTAGGTAAGTTAGGTTAAGCAGGATAAGTTAGGTTAAGTCAGGTAAGTTAGGTAAGATAGGTAAGGTAAGGTAAGTTAAGTTATGCAGGTTAGGTTATGCAGGTTAAGTTAGGTAATGAAGGTAAGTTAGGTTAAGCAGGATAAGTTAGGTAAGTTAAGTTAGGATAGGTAAAGTTAGGTTAAGCAGGTTAAGTTAGGTAAATGTAGGTAAGTTAGGTTAAGCAGGATAAGTTAGGTTAGGTTAGGTAAGTTAGGTATGATAGGTAAGGTAATGTAAGTTATGTTAGGATAGGTAAAGTTAGGTAAGATAGGTAATGTAAGGTAAGTTATGTTAGGATAGGTAAAGGTATGTAAGAAAGGTAAGGTAAGGAAGTTATGTTAGGATAGGTAAAGTTAGGTTATGCAAGTTAAGTTAGGTAAGATAGGTAAAGGTAAGGTAAGTTAGGATAGGTAAAGTTAGGTTTAGGAACGTTACATTAACTAAGTAACATTGGGTGGAGAGGATAGGTTACGTAGGTTTGAACAGTGTAGTTCAGAGAATAGTTTTAGGGTAAAGCGACTAAGAAAATATATTTTAACAGAAGTGCAGGTTTGGTATGAAAAGCTGAACTAGTTACATTTTGGAGAGAAATTTTATAACTGAAGATGTCTTAAAGAATAACATGATGGAAGAAGGAGAGTTTCTTTGATGAACGAAGGTGTCTTAGAGAACAACTTTTGGAGAACGAAGGTGAATTAGAGATCACTTTGATGACTCTGAAAATAACTTTGGTCAACGAATATGGATTGGAAAGTTTCTCTAATGAACGAAGGTGACTTAAAGATTAACTTTTATGATTTAGAGAACATCTTTGATGTCTTAGATAGCAACATTGATGTCTTAGAGAACAACTTTTGATGACTCTGAGAATAACTTTTATGTCTTAGTTTCTCTAATGAACGAAGGTGACTTAAAGATTAACTTTTATGATTTAGAGAACATCTTTGATGTCTTAGATAGCAACATTGATGTCTTAGAGAACAACTTTTGATGACTCTGAGAATAACTTTTATGTCTTAGAGAACAACTTTGATAAGCAAGATCAACTTTAGATGTCTCTGAGAATAACTTTTATAACATAGAAATTAACTTTAATGAACAAAAGTGAGTTAGAGAATAACTTTGATGACTCTGTGAATAACTTTGATGACTTTGAGAATGTCTTTGAGAACATGAGTAGTATTTTGTTAGCTCAGAGAATAACTTTTTGATGACATAGAGAATAACTTTTATGTCTTAGAGAAGAACATTGATGGCTTAGAGAGAATATCTTTGATGAAAGATGATGTCTTAGATTAACTTTGACGTCTCTTGGAATAACTTTGATGACTTTGAGAACAAGTTTGATAGCTCCTAGAATAACTTTGATGACTTTGAGAATGTCTTTGAGAACATGAGTAGTATTTTGTTAGCTCAGAGAATAACTTTTTGATGACATAGAGAATAACTTTTATGTCTTAGAGAAGAACATTGATGGGTTAGAGAGAATATCTTTGATGAAAAATGATGTCTTAGATTTTTGACGTCTCTTGGAATAACTTTGATGACTTTGAGAACAAGTTTGATAGCTCTGAGAAAGACTTTGTTGTCTTAGAGAATAACTTTGTTGTCTTAGAGAATAACTTTGAGGAGTTAGAGAATTAATATGTTGAACGAAAGTGAGTTAGAGATTACCTTTGTTAACTCTGAGATTAACTTTGATAAATGAGAAAATACTTTTTGATGGCATCGAGAATAAATTTGATAGCTCTGAGAATAACTTTTATGCCTCTGAGATTAACTTTAATGAACGAAGATGTCTTAGAAAAGATTCTCTGATGA